TACATAATGACGTGCTTAGCTTACTATTCTGCGAATCTCGCGTAATGGAATCGAGTTACGGTGAACCGCGCCGTGCGCGGGAGAAAGTATGACCGAATAGAATCCCTTTGCCTAAATTCAAAAGGATTAATTCTTTGTTACACACTTTTCAACACTCAAATTCTTTCTAAAGTGCCAAATTATAGTATTATAAACTTCGAAGATTTTTTCGCGCTGAACACGTAACATTGGCAGAATTTGCGCATCAGAATTTTGAGTAAATTGAGGACAAATAACATTTTTGCCCATTTTTAATTTAATCTTTTTACAGGAAAACAAAAACTTGTTTCTAAACGTTTACGACCTAAAAGTACAATTCAAGAACTTCGAAATGAATTTTAATTCATTGTATGATCTTTTTTTATCAAGTTATGGCTATTTAAATTTTTGATTTTTTGTTATGATGCTAGTCAATCAAAAAATTACTTTTCTCTTTAAAATACTATTATATATATACCTAGAAGATTTTTTTCTTGCTAAACACAATGCTCGTCAGAATTGATGGAGCACATAAGAATTTTTAGTAAATTGGGATGAAATGAGCTAAAAACTCAATTTATTAAAATCCAAATCCACCTCAATTTATTAAAACTCTACGTAAATTCTGACGACAGCATCGTATTTAACGCGACAAAATCTTTGTGGTAATACTTTGACACTTCAGAGAGAAAAAAGTAATTTTTGCCAACTATATTGATAACAATTAATTTATAGATTAGCTGGACGAACGCGATGCGATAGGTTTCCGAAGCAAAAAGAACAAATGGACCTTTCGCAAAAGAAACCCTGCTCATTATCCTTTTATCGGCACTTATTTGGAATCAAAATTGATTCATCGACAAATTTGCATGTCGGCGTGTACCTGGAAACGTCCTTGATGAACGGAAGCTCGTAAAACGTCGAGGATAAAGGTATCCCGCGGGTGGGCCGCGATAAAACGCGCGAACGAGTGATGATGCTCGGGCGTCCCACGTGTCGCGACCGCGATGCATACATACGTTCATCGCGCGGATATCCCACGAGGCCGCATTCCGTACGTCGTCGCCGGGTTTCAATAGACGTTGTTTTTTATACGGAACGTATAGATTCCGCAGATAAATTCCGCAGACGAGGCCCGCCCAGTGCGTCATCCAGCCGCAGTCTGGGCCTCGATTATTACGGCTCCGTATTTGAGTCCCATATCTAGCGCGAAGTGTGGGCGTTTGATTGCACCTTTTATTTGTCTAGCTTCAAGGAACCGTTGTGCATGCAATCTGATTACAGCTCGCGAGCTAAGCGGCTACATCTGACGCCGTCTCGGTGATAAATTTAACGAAGAACGCGGCAGCAATTGATAAGAATCTTCCTCGCGGTAGAGATTATGGTTAACAAATTACGCAAAAGAATTTTTATGTCATTCGTGAAAAGAAAAATCTTCTTTAATAGCCATTTTATTTCTGTACGAAAGCGACAATATAGATAAGAAATTTAAAATAATGTCTAGTAAAACATTCTTAAGCATGTATCGCGTAGTACCTCTAAATAGGTACTAATTTTTAAACAGAAAAGATATTTTTCAAGTTATTAATAGAAGGTATCACTTTTACTTTTCCTAATAGAACGTATTTTTCCTGGTATATTAGCATGAGGTATGAGATACACGAAGTAATAATTAATGTAGTGATTCGAATGAAGGTATTATTCTTATGAATTCACAGTATTTTTCTTTAAAAAGTATAAGATTTCTTGTACGTATATA